AAAAAAATCTTCGATCTACTATACAAATCATGGAATATCTTCATCAGATATTTTACTAAATACTCAATATTTTTTTGTCAATCGTTTTAATTAATTGTAGTTTCTTTCCACATTAGGCTCTAAAATCTACTGCTGATAAACTTCAGAAATCTTTTCAATAGGTTTATCAAATCTTTTAGTCAAATAATATAATAAAATTTTTTCTTAGTTAACATATGATTTAATTTATTTATAAATTATTCAATAATTAATAATTTTAAATTCAATCAAAACCATATAAGTTGGTATCACAAATTAACATCATCATATTCACCATTAATGTTTGAAATGATTATTAAATAATAAAATATTAGATTAAAAATCGTCTAAGTTTTGTGTAATTGTAAATTAGATTGTTTTTCATTTAATGTGACGATTGTTTAAAATAAAAAAAAAAGTAGAGTTTTATCGGTCAGTTGTTCTCAATGAATAAGTCAAGGGGGAACAAGCGGACTTCTGTACTTCTGAAGTACAAAAGTACGGAAAAGTACAGAGAAGTACGAAGAAGTCCACTTGTTCCCCCTTGAAATAAGTACTTATTATTAGAGTAAACATATTTTCTTGATTTCTCCAGTTTTTGATAGCATGTTACTTTTAAATTACAGAAATTCCACAGATAATCACGAAAAAAATTAAATATATAAATTCGAAGATATAACGTATAGATAAATTGTTTATAATCTTAAAAAATAATAACAAAAAAAATATTTCTAATACATAACTAGTCATTTCATTGTCTTTTTTTTTCTAAATCAAAAGTACTAATTTGATGAACTAAAGATAATACGATGAAAAAAAAAAAGATTTCAAAAGTGAAATCTAAATGAAAAGAAAAAACTAAAAAAGATAATAGCATCTAATACAAGGGCAAAATTTCTCGAGTGTTGTAAAATTAGAACTATTGCATTGATATTCCGATTAAATTTCATTTGAATTTAATAACTCAAAAATACTAAGAGATATTTCATCTCTCATAGAAATAGAAACTTATATAATATGCAAATCAGTTTTTTTTTTAGAGAACGTAAACGAAATTGATCTGAAGAACGAACATGTTTAATTTTTACAATTAATGTTGTAACAATAACATATCTTTCCATGCTAAAAATTTTAATTGACATACGTCAAGTAATTCTTCTGTTGATCAGAAAAACCATTAGCAATACACATGAATAACGAATTTATAATCATTTTCATAGAGCAGTTATACTAATCGTTGCCGGTCTTGTTTATCTAAAACAGATTTTATATTTTGATATTAATAAGAAATGAAATATACATATATAATTAACCGTGAATCTATTCTAATTTAATTCACGTAAATAATGTAGAAAGATTTAGGATATTCATTATAGATTTAGAAATCAAAGATTTTTGAATCTAATCACAATATGAATCCATTCTATGACAAAAAAATTTCAAAATTATATGTTTTATGTCATGATCAATCAAACTAATTCATTATTCTAACTATTTACAAGAAAAATGTCATAATTCACACACTTATTTTCTTCAAATTGAAGTTACTTTCTAGTTTTTCAATAAAAGAATCTTTTTCGAACAAGATATTACAATTTTTTTAACCTTGAAAAAGGACAATATTTTGAATATTTGACTTTTGAAAAATGAAATTTTGAACATACTGTAATATCTTTATTGTGAAATTTTCAAAAAATAAAATTAAAAAATAATTTACAGTGTATGCACATAAAAAAACTGCATCATCATCATCATCATCATCATCATCACATGCTTCTTGTTCTTTTTCGTTGTTTATTTAAAAAGGTATTTCTATTGCTCCTATGATTGACACTATTTGTATTTTTCTTGACAGCTCAAATGATCAATTATCTTACCATTTCAAAGTCTAATCAAAGAACAAAAACCAACAATATACGATTCAAGGACAAATTATTCATCCTTTAAAATAAGACGCGTATTTCGCATGAAAAATTGTTATTTGAAGATCTACTAAAAATGTTATTTTTTTCCTATTTAATAAATATTTTTGAATATCATACTCTCTAAAAATATCATTTTTCTCAATGAATCCATTGAAAGAATAAGAACTTGAATAACTTTTGAAAAATGTCCTCACTATCATCTACTCTTAACCTCTTCAAAAAGAAATTATATAATGCTTTCAGTAATAATAACACTAAGACTGTAAAAATTCTTACTATCATGTATTATTAAAGTAGAACTTTTCACTGTTATACATAGTTTGATAGAGTATGACAAGTTGATCAAAATTATTGTTGTTTCAATTTTTAAGAATGAGTTATTTGAGGAAAATTTTCCGATTTATACAATGATATATTCATTTTTATCTTTCTGAAATTTTAAAAGCATTTTTATTAGGTGCAACACGAAAAATGGAATATTAACAGATTCTTGTTAATGATATGTCTATATTTAGATTTCCATGATATATTCGAAATAAACACTCTTATAATTTGATAAAAACAAAAAGCTTGCCTATTTTTTTATAAGAAATGAGCCCTTCGACAAAACTTCCTTTCAAAACAAAATCGAGAATAACTAGCTTTAACTGGTTTTTCACGTTGTAAAATAAAACAAAATACTGATGGTTTATAAAACTTTGACGATCTTTAAAACTTGTTACTTTCCGTCTAAGGACGTTGGCTACATCAAATCCAGAGGGCTTTGAAATTTGTTTTGATTTTTGCCTTCATGTTTATTTCCTTCCGATGCTTAACATTCTGTAGCAGGACACCACTAGCAGTTCATTTGTTCTACCAGTGTCATTGTCATGCGGTCTCGTTATGATATGTGAAATGTCTAAAAGAAAATAAACTAGAGTAGAATAATTAAAATAAATTTCACAAATTTCTGAATTTAATGAAGACCATGCGATTTTTCTAAACTGTATAAATTTGAAATAACTATTTAACTCAATAATTTATTAGGTTTCTATTTGATTGTATTATTTTTTTTAAATGATATTTTAAAATAAAGGAAGAATTAATCACTAAACTAATGGATGAGAAAGAACATAACTATGAAAAATAATAGCAATAAAATATGAAATGATACAAAGAATAAAATTATTAATTATGTAAGAGAAATCCACTATTGATAACTTACAAAATGAAGAAGTACCATAAATCAGAAACAGATGAAGAGTAGAGAAGTGTAACCGCAAACTGAATACAATAATAAATGAAGAAAAAGTTTTTGAAACAGGAGAGTGAAAATTGATTGGCACAATAAAAGAAAAATCGAGAAGTTCTTAATACAAAAAAAACTACTACAATGGAGCTTTTTTTTCCAATGCATTTAACATATAAGTTGAAATTCATTTTTAAAATAAAAATTATCAAATTCATGGGTGTCACCGTTGTCGGGAGTACAGATATGAGTGTCAGAACTAATGTGAATTCTAGTGTGCAATGCGAATCAAGGGGATCTATTCCAACACTGTAGAATTTTTTACTTTGATTAATTTCTTCTGATTTAAACCAACTGTTATGGAAAGAGTTTGAAGTTCACTCTAGTTGACAGAAGACTAAAACAAATATATTAAAAGGGTCAACAACAACTTATATGCTAAAGCTAACTTATTTTTCCCACTGCTGTCGTTCATATTGTAACATTCATCTTTGTTTTGTCTATATTAAGAATTTTAGATTATTTTTCTTTCGCACAATTTTTGTGAATCTCTCTGAAATGAATGTAACATCAACAATAATTATGAGTAAAAGTATATGACTTATTTTATATAATGTGCAACCAATATATTTGTTTTCTTTTTTTCTTTTTTTTTCAAGTAAATTAACTATAGATTTATCTTTGATGTATGTCTATATATATATATATGAATAGTTATGCATATAAAGATAGGTGCTAGTGTTGTTGATAGATTCTCTTTTGTTTTTTATTTTTTAATTGTTTCATTTTGTTGATCGACTATTGTTTTTGTTGAATTTTCGATCATTCTTTTCTTCGAACATCATTAGAACTTATAGTTGAAAAAACATGATCATTGATATTAGTAATAAATTGTTCTATTGTAATAATTGCAAATATCGATTATTCATTATAACGTATTGTTGTGCAAAATCATTCATTGCGTATTTCATTGATATAAATCATATACTTTTACTTATAGTTACAAATTCATGTCTTCAATAATTTTAAATGTTATTTATTTATTTTTTGTTATACAAATATATGACATAATAATTCTAAATATTATTCTCTATTTAGAGAATTCAATATGTACACAAAATAACAACATTATAATTTTATACAACAACAACATTCGAATTTATTACAATAACGATTAGACGATCAATATTTGTAATTATTACAATCGAACAATTTATTACTAATATCAATGATCATGCTTTATTTAATTGTAAGTTCTGGTGATGGTCGGAGAAAAGAATGATCGAATATTTAACAAAAGCAATAATATTCAGTGAAGATAAGATTTATTAAACGTTAGTCGAAACAACCTTCTTCGGTGGTTGTTCAGCCTTGATTTGCCGGTGTGGGTGTGGGAAACAAGTAATTAACTTTTAAACATCCTATATATTATTTGACTGATAAGATAAATGATATTAAGAATAAAAATAAAAATAAGTGTCATCTTATTTATATATTCTCTGTTAATATAATATATTAAATAAAATTAATAATAGGTAATGATAAATATTGTTGATAAACAAGATATAAATATTAAACATGATGAATAATATCATTGATGATATATATATATCGAATATCTGATAAATAAACAGTTTATTGGAATTATCAAGAAAATAATGAGAAAATGTTTTTTGTGAAAAGGTTAAGAAAATGTTAATGTCAAAGAGAAGACATTTGTTGATATAATAACATTGAAGTTTTTGACATCGATATAATAAACAGTCGAGAAAATAGATATTTGCTTTTGAGTCAGAGAAAAGACATTCATATTATTGAGATAAATCATAATGAATTTATTATTATTTATTATTTTAATAATATCGATTGAATCAAAAAAATCTATTCGTAAATATCAATATGTACGAGATAGTGATATGTTTGATATAGATGGTTTAATACGTTTTTCAATATTAAATTCAAATGGAAAAGAATATTTATATCGTTTAAGAAATTCATATAATGATAATGATGCACTTCTTATTGTATCATATCCATCAAAAGATATTGTTGCTTATCTTCAAGGTCAATGGAAAAATTTAACATTAAATGTTACTTTTGATATATTTAATTCAACAACAAATCAATGGAATAATGGAACAATAAATAAAATTTATAATTTATTTGTTGAAAAATATTTAATTGAATGGAATAATGAAAATTTTTTAATGAAAAAAAAACTTTTTTCAATATATCATAAATTTTATGATGAAAATCAATATGTTTTAGCTCGATTTCGAATGCGTTTTCGTTGGTTTAATTGGTCATTGATTAAATATGATTTACAAATATATTCAGATAAATTACCTGATATTATTTATTTTTTTTCAATTGCAATTGTTGATTATAGAAATTTAATTCAATAACTTTAGTTTTTTTTTTATTAATCATTTTTAGATTTTCAATTAAACAGTTTTTTTTTATTTTAAATAATAAAACAATTCATAATCAGTATAGATTTCAATTCTTTATCGTTTCAATTTATCAAAAATTACACTTCGATTAATTTCCTTTTAATATGTTTTGTATTTATTTTTCAATAAAATAATAAATTATTTCAATACGAATAAAATATATGAACGATGAATATGGAATATTACAACAAGAAACATCGACGATCAAACTAGAATTCTTTATTCCTTCAAACACATTCAACATATTTCTTTTTCAGAGATTATAGAAAATAAATAAAATCTTGAGAATTTTTCAAATTGTAGTTAATTTGATTAACTATCAAATAATAATAATAAAAGAAATATTCTTTCTTTTCTCGATCTATATTTGAAAAAATATCATTTACAATATCGAAAACCTTGGTAAACTATCAAATTTAGATTTTTTGAAAAATAAAATCTTTTCCTATGAACAAAGAAAATCCATTAAAGAAATTCATTCAATTCTATCCAACGATAAACAATACGATACTTTTCATATAAATATCATTCAAAAAATAAATGAAAGAAACAATATTCGATAGATCTTTAAAATTAGAATCCATCCTACATTATTAAAAAGAAAATAATAATCTAAAAAATTATATTTATTTAAGTTTTTTACAACGTTTTTCAGTTAGACGATATCAAATATATTGAAGTCATTTAGTAGAGTTTTTCTCAAACACAAATAGAGCAAACATATAAGATAATCTAAATTAATATTATCATAACGAAGTACAATACTTAGTTTCTCTATTGATTTTGATTAATTAGAAACACAAAACTAATTTGTGTTTAATTGATATCAAACAAGTTTTAACAGAATTGTCTTCTATCCCATCATGAAATTCTATGATATATTAATTATTTAATAGAAAATTTTATTATCAAAAGAAGAAAATAAAATAAGAATTATTTATTGTCGTGTAAATTATTTTCAAAATAACTTAAGAGAATTTGAGGAAAAGGAAACAAGTTATTGATAATTAGCTTCAGATTCTTCAGAAATTCTTTTCATTTCATTAACAGCTAATTGTAAAGCTTGTTCAGCTATATTTATATTTTCATTTGATTCATATGCATTTTTATCTTTTAATTTCCAATTAATTTCATATTCTAATTCAGATTGAAAAACTTGATTTGTTGATCGACAAATATTTATTGTTTCACCTTCTAAATATGGATGATCAATTAAACGATAAACAATTATTCCACTTGTTTTATCAGCAACAATTAATTCTTTTAATGATTCCCATTTATCATTTTCAAAATGAATTATTCTTAAAACATGATCACTTTCATTTTCTAATATTTCAACATGACGAATTCCTTGAACATATTTTTCAGGATGTTCAATTTTATCCAAAAGATTTTGCCAAACAACGTCAAAACGAGCATTTACAAATACTTTATATTTATATTCAGGCATTTTTTATTTTATCATCAATTAGATAATAAATAATTGAGTTTCTTTTTGTTTATTTACAGAAGAGAGATCAATTTATGGAAACAACATATCTCCAATTAGATTTTATATATATTAAACATAGATGACGCTCTGTTCTTCTATATATGTCAACGTCCAATCTCAGATAAGTCTAGGACAATCTTGGTTGCCTACATTGGACTAGTCCAATCTACGATTAATGTAATTCTATTTATTAAAATATCAGTAACTCTTTAATTAGACGTCACATTCATACGATTTATTAAAATTATGTCCACACAATATCAAATTTTTTGGCACAGTTGTCGCTGCAAAGATCTTAAAAAAAGGTTTTGGAAATTATGAGTAAATTCTTCAGAACAATAACTTTAATAAAAAAAGAGTTGTTATTAATTTATTGAGTTTAAATCAAGCTACTTCGCGGATGCTTGCAACACTTAAAAAGATGTTATGCGAACATAATTTTAAAAATCCATTCGACTCTGACATCTATCCAGTATTCCGGTCGGAAAATTATCGTTTCGCGAGACATCCTATTTCGAAAATTTTCCGCTCACCAGAATACGCCGGAAACTGCATCATATCCCTATGAAAACAGACCGCATCCGATCCTGAACAGTAGCAATTAATCTTATTCAAGAAAAATCTTTTACGATCCTAATATTCATAATTTCTTCTTCCAGTCTCAAAAATGCCTGCAAAATACGGCACAGTGTCAAAAACATCGTCAATAATTATTTTCACTGGAAAAGCTATAGGATTCTCAGAAACATATAAAAAGCTTTGGTACACTCCAAAAATGCTCTTCATAGATCTTCTCATTGAAATAGTTATGACAGTCTCGAAAATAATCTAAAAATAGTGTAACTTCCAAAAAACATCTATTAGCTTTTTGCGCAAGAATCTTCTATTTCCTACTTCTGATCGGTCATCGAACCGTCTAGCTCCGTCGCTTATATGTGCCTTGACACATGACTGTCTCAATTCGAATAGATTGAACCCACTGTGAAGGCTATTGTTGTGTACTGTATTTATCAAAGCATTTCTTTCTACTTTGTTTTGAGTACTGCTATCGACTGTGATACTCGAATAAATTCGAATGTGCTATCCACGTCTATTTATAGTGGGGCAAATGTCTAAAAAGAAATAAAAAAAATTCAATTTTACTCAGATCAATAATACTCAACAATCGATTTTCTATCAATATTACTCTTGATCGAGTTGTCATTCAAATAAACGTTCACGTGCAATGCAGTCTCATTTATAGAGGATCATGTCTTTAAAAAAACTCAAAAAGTCTGATTGTAATTCGATTATTAATTAGTCAACAATGAGTTTTCAATTTATGTTGCTCGTGACTGGGTTGTGGCTCAAATGAACTCTCAGATGCGATGTACATAGAGGACGAAGTGTAAAAAAGACCCGGATAATTAGATTGAAATCTGATTAGATTTGTATGGATTAAAATAGAGAAAATTAAGAGCAGTTACTATTCTATAGTATTCGATCGAAACCTTGTAGATGTGCTTGATGTTTCCTAAATATTTGACGAAAATGTTTTAATCTAAAGTTTAGCAGCTGTTTTCACATGTGTGTTGTTGGAAAGTATCAGCGATTTGTGGAACAATAGTAATTGATCTCATGCAACTGAAACTCCTAGGTTCCAAGTCGTACCTTGTAATATCCTGTGACCGGATCCAACATTCACAGCCTAATCGAAATCGGCCGGATCTGAACTTCGAAACCAGGCTGAAAACGATGGTATATGGCTTGCATCCCGTCACTGTCATAAAACACCTGAACTGTATTCAGAAACCTTAGGGAAAAATAGGCCTCCATATCCAGGCATCGTTTTCGAATTCCTGAATTGATGAAAACTAAGCAGGAAACGGAGACTGGAATCGGTTAGGGAATTCTGCTGTCGGAATGCGCTGGAAATTCAATAGATTCGATCGATTTCCACCGTGCATCTTTTTGTAAATTAAATATTCAATCAATTTTTGTTTAATATTTTAATATGAAAAGTAAATGAAAAATAGAAAACGATAAATATTTTCTCTTAATTTAATTAAATCATCGAATTGATATTAAACATTTATTTTCATATTAAAAAACGAAACAAGTTTTTTTTTTCTTCTAAAAATTCAATAACAGATCGAAGAAAATGAGAAATCCAAAACGAATAATCACTGGTTTTATCAAATAAAATTAATTTATTTAAAAGTTTTTATTAAAAATCATTTTACACTGAAACGTTCAATATGAGTGGAAGTGTAGGCAAAAACGCTAAGAAGACTAGCATCCATCTATACTCATTTAACTCGCTTTACAGACATTCTTCCTTTGTTTCACTCACCCAAATATCGAATTACACAAAGCAGATAGTCGAACTTCAAGAAGAGTACTGTTTATTTTACTATCCGATAGAATGGCTGAAAATCGTTTTCGACAAGACTAACATAAGAGAAAGAAGCTTCTTTGAATACATAATACGTTCAGGTAGAAGAGTGAGACGATCTTTAATTTCAGTTTAAAATAATTGAAAACAAAAAGACATTTGACAATTCAGTTTCAAATTCGACTAATTGATTAGAGCTAAGTTTCATTAAAAATTTTCTCATGTAATATCCTTTCTTTGAAAAAAAAAGAGAACAATTTAATTAAAAGTTCTCGTCTTCATTTAACTTTTCATTGCTTTACTCGTAGAAAAAGCTACGATAACGCTTTCGACTCTGATAATGTTTGATATATCTTTGTTTGACTGAAGATATTTTTTAATCATTGACTTACTTAATCAATACATAAATGATACAAACTCTGTACATTGTCATTTGAAAATTCTCAATTAAAGAATGAAATAATGTGCGGATTTTTCTGAAAAAAATGTCTATCGCTCCAATCAATTCAATCAGCTTCTGATCAGTCATTGGTTCTCTAAATATATAACACATTCGAAAACGACAAGGCAAAGTACCTTTAGTCATATTCTATAATGATTTACAAAAATACATTTGAGTTGATCAAACTTCAGGGTATGAGTATAGATGTTTCTCTATTTTCAAGTATGTACACTCTATCCACTTGGTATAATCATTGAAATTAAACATCATCAAATAATTAATTTGTAATTAGGTTTTTTTTCAACGTTCAATAGTTTCATATAGGCAAAAACTATTCTCGAAAGAATTCAAATCCTATATCAGACATTTAGTACAAGTAATTAAATATTTACTATTATTCTGTCTCACTTCTACTGTAGTTTATTAACACATATTCAGGTGATAAAACTCATCAGTGGATATTACGATATTCTAATAAAAAACTCAATAGAAAAACATATGCTAAAACACAGAACACAAAAAACAAAACAGGTGTCATAATCAGAAGAGAAGGCTTTTATTTTCTTCGTTGCCGTTTCGAATCAAGTTTCATATAGTCAAATAGCGTACCAACGAGTGTAAAGATGATGACAAGGATTTTGAAAAATTGAAGAATAGTTATATCACTTGTGGGATAATATTTCGTCTAAACTAAATAATTCTTAACTATAACTGGTGGAAAAAGCAATTTAAATGATATCTTTTCATACTATTTTATGAATCGTCTCAGATATGTCTAGTTTTACTGATAGATGAATTTATAAATCTCAGTTATTTTTAAATAGTTGCGAAGACTAAGCCAAAGATAATGCAATGAAAAGTTTGTTTCATTCTCTTGTTTCTACTATAGAATACATGTAACAAAGAACAAAAAAAAAAAACAAACTTGATTAATAATTTCATTTCCGGTGAAAGAGCACCTTATATGTTATGATATGAATAAGAAAAAGAAAAGTAATTGTTAACATATAGTTAAAAGGGCGATGATTACATTTATCGGACAGTAAATGCACAAAAAAAATGAGTTGGCGAAAGCTATTTTCTAAGACTGTTGAATCGTTACGAATGTGTTCAATTTTATTTTTAAAATGAAATATTCTTGCTAGGTAAGAGTGAAAAATAAAATCTCAATTTCTATGTAGACAATAGCTATAATATTTAACCAAATATTATGATGTCGATAAACTTAAAATATCATGTCATGTTGTTAATATGAAAATTAATTTTTTTCATAAATCAAAAAATATAATTTTTCAGATTTTTCTATAAGAAGTTGAACATATTTCATTGTTAGACATACAAATAAAATAACATATTTGTATTACTAAAAAATTGTTTGATCAATTATTTAAGGATTGAATTTTGTCTCTAGATAGTTTTTGTACTAAATTTATTAATTTATATCTCATTGAACATCTACAAAAATCATAAAAAATATTACATGAATGTTTTCCAGTCTATTATGAAATCGACAAAAATTTGTTTGATTCTTTTTTTGAGTGATCAGAAATGATTAGGGATGAATGAATTGTTTCCAAGAGAGAAACATCTTTCAAATTTTTAATAAGTTAAAAATGACTTATCTTATTCGTAAACTAGTTAGGGAAATAATAAAAAAGTAATGGAGAATAAATATGCGATTGATTAATAGAATTTTCATCTTATCTGATTAACATAGTTTTTTTAGAAAATAAAGCGTTTATTATTTTGTTTTTAAGAAATTTCTTGATGGTTGATTTCAAAAACAAATCGTCCAAATCTGATTTGCATAGTTTATTAATTTATAAAAGGGAAGATATCATTCAATATAATCTTATTTAATAAATCTGTATGACTACTAAAATCTTATCAATATATATATATAAGTGAATTGGAACTTTTTGGTACCGTTAATGTTTTAGTAGTATTTCGCTAATAACTTTCGCTTCTCTGAACCGATTCGAACAATTTTTTTAAACATTATGGCATTTGGTATGCCCCACTGGCACACAAAATTTCAGCCCTGTAGCTCATATCAGTGCTGAGTTATAAAAGATATATGACAAAAAAATTCTCATTTTTAATGACACGTGATAAGAAAAGCGAATTTTTAAGCTATAAAAGAGCCAGAGAAAAAAAGATGCTATTAGGCTATTTTGTACAGCGTTCGATGCTCTATCGAAATATATCATCGATTTGAATGTTATGATTTGTTCTTTCCTTTGTCTAGCGTTCACACTATTTGACAGACACTTTATTATTTTTGTGTAGAGTGACGGAAACCTGGTTGCAGTTCTGTCATTGAAATACCTAGTTATCTGCCGACTATACTGGAAGAAAGACAACTCTTTAAGACACAAAATTATTAGAAAAAACTGTGTTTCATTAAATTTATTTGTAGATAAAAATAACAAGACTTTTTGAAAACAATGTCTTATGATACTCAGTTTGTAGAGTGACGGTTTGAAAATTGAATCGTTTATAACTCTTTAATAAATCGTTCGATTTGGCTCAAATTTTCAAAGTAGATATAGAATGATAAGTTGTATAAGTGATAAAAATTTCAGCTCTTAATCTTCTATCATTCGGGAGAAATTTATATTATACTAACAAATGTAGAGTGACATTTGTACGTTCTATAACTCTCCAATGTATCTCTCAATTTGACTTAAATTTTTAAAGAAGATATAACCCAAAAAGTTCTCTAAGTGATACAAATTTCAGTAATTAATTATGTATCATTCAGGAAAAATTTACGTTATACTGAAAAATGTTGAGTGACATTTTTCGTTGAAACAACGTTTTTTTATGGTACATTTACATTGAAGTAAGTCCTATCTCAGCCAATATGTGATAAAGTGTTGAAAAACTTTTGCTGTGTAACACAGACATAGATTGTAATAAAATGCACTGCTCAAAAACTGTTTAGATCTACTTTCAGTTTTTCGCACCAATCGTACCAAAAATTTGCAATCATATATATTGCTATGAATTACTTTGTGTTTATATTTATAAATTGATTTTTATTAAATATGAACATTTCTAGAAGAGTATAGAATAGTTTATGTGAATGGTTGAAGTTTGTTGAGAATTTTCTTAGCTTCACGCATTCCACTTTCAAATCCACTATCAACATAACCAATAGATCCATTATAATTGGTATGTTCACCTGCCCAATGTATACGACCATCATGTGTCTCAAGAGATAATTCTTTTAAAGTTTCTAAATTACTTCCAAGATGAAAACTTGAATATGAACCTTGAGAAAATGGATCAGATCTCCATCGTGTTATTAACCATTTTATTGGATAAGATATATTTGGATAAATATGACGAAGAGAATTAAATATTTCTTTTACAATATCTTCATCTGTTTTTTGTTCTATTTGTCTAGCTAAATTTCCATATAAATATAATGCTAAAATACGATATTTAGGTAAACAATAATAAAATTGAAATTGATCATTAAGAATATTAATTCTTTTTAAATTTTTATCCCAAAAAATCTCTGAAAATTGAAGATAAACTTTATTAAGTAAAGAAAAACCCATTTTATGAATAGCTTCTTCTTTCCATTTTGGTAATGATGGAGAAAAAACAATTGAATTTGATTTTAAACAACCAAGTGGAATTGTTAAAATAACATATTTACATAAATATGATTTATTATCTTTTGTTGAAACTTGAACAATTTCATCATATTCATTTAATATATCAATATTACTAACAATTGAATTTAATTTAATCGGAAGACTATATTTTGAGGCTATTTCTTTAACTAATAATCCTAAACCATTATTAATAGATAAATCATATGATTGAAGATAACCTTCACCTTTTCCATAATATTTACATGAAAGTTCATTTAAATCTGAACCTTCATGAAGTTCTGTATAACTAAGACCCATTTGAACAAGATGTTTTAATTGTTGATTTGAAATTTGTTTTAATGGTTCATTAATTAAATCTAATATTGATATATCTGATTTATCTATTGAATATTCTTTAACAATTAATAATAAATCTTCAATTATTTTCATTGCTTTATTAATAAATTCATCAGAAATAATATTTCCATATTCATCAAAAATTTTCATAGTTAATGGATTATAAATATCAGATTCAATAAAATCTTCATTTGATGAAATATAATAACTACGTAAAAAATTATCTGATTCATGATGACAAATATAATGAGCACCTATATCAATTGGAATATTTTCACCAAATGTTGTTATATCTGTAAATGCTCTACCACCAATTCTATCTCGTGCTTCTAATATAAGATAATCTATATTTGATTTCATTTTTTCGAATACAATTCCAGCAGCAATACCAGCTGGACCACATCCAATTATTATTACATCAAATATATGATTGTTTGTTGTCATTCTACTAGTTTTTATTAATTATTTTTCTACAAATCAATAAAAGTTTTCTAATCATTAGAAGAAAAAAAAAACTAAACTGACATAATGAACAGTCTCTCATTTATTCAAGTAAGTTACTTGTGTCATTCACTTATTGTATTTTTGTTGTTATGTAGAGTTGAAAAATGGAATTTTTTTTTCTCGTATGAAAAATAATCATATCAAATGGAAAATGTTATCTTTATGGTTAAAAGAATTTTTTTTATATTAAAATGATTGGATTTGTTTTTTCATTCGATCAAATTAAACACATTTGAGTTATATAAAAGATTTCACTGGTACATATATTAATAGAAAATATTATTTACTGTTGAGAGGTTTAAACTGAGACTTTCGAATTTTATGATATTTTGAATTATGTTATATATGTATTTTTTACTCTTTACCTCCGACAGCGGTTCCAGCAGAGTCACCAATAAAATAACAATATAAATAGGGTACTAGCGTGTGTACTATAATAATAATGTGGTCTGATTCACTGAATGATGTTTACCACTTTATGTAGGACAATTTCATTGGTCGGTTAACTATGTGATGGAATAAGAGGACGAAATGACATATGAAGCAGTGATTTGTTTTTCTTTGACCACATTATCGAATGAGCAAAAGTAACATCTATCCTATGTTATTAGGATAATGAAAAACAGAGGAAATAAACTCGATAAAAAAAAAAATGTCGAAATAATTCATGCATTTTTACCACATTTTTTTAAATAGATATCTACTTTGCATTGAGCCATTTTATAAATTCTGAAAATATTTAATTCGAAATAAATACTATTCTAACTTGTCATGAGCTGAAATTTTTTATACATATATTACCATTTCTCTGAATTGTCATAAAGATGTCTTATAGTTGCTGCTTGGTCAATTGATCACCTTATTGAGATATAGCTCATACAATTCATTACGAAAAATGTCCTTATCGTTTTCAAATCCCATGTTTCCTTTATTTTATGCAATCATTCTACAAAATGGCAATTTCAATTGCCAATGAGGGGGTAAAGGGCTAGACTGGAGACTCTAACACACACATAAAAAAAAAACAAAAGATAATTCTATTAAAATTTTCATTTGCATGTACGTTAGATGTAATGTAATTACCTTAGTATTTGAAAATCTTCAAACAGATTCGTCAAGAGTAACTAATATTTTTTAAATTTATCAGCTTGGAAATAGACACTTTAATTCGACTGGTATATCTTTATTCGAATTTATTTTAACTACGAATTCTTTCACTGTAAGAGTTATATCAAATGTAAGTTATTCTATCTTATCATAGATTTCTTTTGCAGTCGATGTGAGAACAAAGAATAAAACGTGAGAGAAATATCAAGCGTCTTTTTTCTTATCTTTCTTGATATGTTTATCATTTCAACCATATTTATTTATTATTATCTTTTGAAATGAACTATGATTATAATATTCGACCGAGATGAATGTTTCAATAATAATAACAGAAAGTCAAATTTACTTCAAATATTTTCTATTGGGTTTATCACACTATATGAAGGAAGAAGAACTTTTTTATATTAAATCTTTTTCTTTTTAAATAATAAGTTATAAAAGAAACATTTTCTTGTTTTAAGTAACTTTTATAGATTATTTTAATTTAGGGTGTGGGATGTGGATAAAGAATATACCTACATCCACACTCACACCATGAAAGATTGATTTAAACACGAAAAAATCTATGTGAGTTTGAAGTCTTTCATCAGACTCAAAAAGGCTTGAAGGAAATTAAATTTGGTATAGTTTATTTTCATTTTTCTTTTCCATTTTAACCACTATATTTTTGCGATTATGTTATTTTTTAGGTACGTCAAAGAAGTTGGAATAATTACCTTTATACACTTGTGTAATAGTAAACTATGGAACAGATGATCGAACAGAATACAGAAAATCCTCTAACGAGAACAAAACCAAGTGCCTTCTATTCACTGATCTGTAAGTTTATTTTCGTCTGCCAGTGACATCAATTCTAACTTTAAATTAGAAGTACATTCAATTAACATCAATTACTTAGAATCCAACCGACAGTTGATAGGTACTGATGTCCGATTGACTACAATTAATAAAACAAGTAACGTGGCGTAAACATCGGTGACCTTCTACCGAAAGGATGTGATGCTGTCGAGCATATTGCATTTGAGCAACTATGAGACCTAACATTGTTATACAGACTTAAAAGAACAAAATTTAAGTTAGAGCATATGGACATAAATGCACATGATCTCTACTTCCTAAAAAATCCAAGAAGTAAAGACTAGGGTGGGTGTGGGTGTGGATATGCAGTGTGTGCTAAGAAAGGTATAATATTCACACACAGGTGTAAAGCCACACCCATACCCACATCCGAAATTTCGAGTCTAAAATGGTGTTATCAGAAAAAGCACATTTAGGGTGGGGTGTGGGTGTGGGTGTGGGTGTGGATGTGGGTGTGGGTGTGGGTGTGGGTG